CCTTGGTCCCTTCACTGGAGTGGTTCTCCTTTCGGCTACGGTCAGGGGTGCGGTCGGAGCCTCGCTCAGACTGCTGCCCCCCACCCTTGGTCCTGCTGCGTTCCTCATACGGGGAGTGAGCTGTCCTTCCTCGGTCACTGGAAAGGCTTCTCCGCTTGCGTCTCTCCTCCCAGGGCTTGGCTATACTCCGGTCCCCATCTCCTCCCCAGCGCTCACCACTCCGGCTGCGCACTGAGCGGCTATAGCCCTCCAGGCTGTTTCTGCGGTCAGAACTTTTACTGAGGCTGGTCCAGTCCCCTTCCAAAAAGGTCCGGTCTCGGTCCGAATACAGAAGGTGTGGAGGAGTCCTATCCCGCACCCTGAGGTCAGCATCCAGGTTTCGATGCCGGGTATATCCGTCAGCGAGCAGCTCATAATGCACAGGGAGAGGTGAGGGCTGGTACTGCTGGGGATATCGAGTCTCCTCTGCTTTGGCGAAATCCACCCTGAGCCTGCGATCTGGACCGCCCAAGGGAAAGCCCCTCATTTTAGCACAGGCGGCTTGGGCTGCGTCCAGGCTCTCGTACTGGATGTAGGCAAAGCTGTCTCCCTTTACGTGATCGATGGTCCGAATGCTCCCAAAGCGATCAAATTCCCTGGCCAAGGCTGCCAGAGAGGTGTTAGGTCCCAGACCACCCACCCAGAGGCGGGTGGTGGGGTTAGCCTTGCCGTAGCCTATCTTTATGGGGTTTCTGCCAATCACGCGTCCGGACATGGCCACCTTGGCCCTGTGTGCCATGTCCAGGTTCTGAAACTTGAGGAAAGCATAGGCACCCCCCTGGCCACGGGCAGGCCTCTTGATGACCACCTCCTCGATGATACCGTACTTCTCGAATGCCCGTCGGAGCTCCACCTCAGACACACTGTGGTCCAGGTTCCCGATGAAGAGGTTTCGAGTGGCTCTCTGGTCATCCTCCGGCATCAGGTCCTCCTCGCACACGGCCGGGTAGCCGTAGGGGCGCCCACGGTCGTCGTACAACCCGTAGTAGTCCAAGGCCCGCTCCCGGGACAGTCCCACGGCCGCGGCGGCCGCAGCGTCCAGGGCGAAGGCTGCCGCGGCGTGCCGGGCGCGGGGCTCCCGCAGGGGCGGGGCGGCCACCGGCGACAGCGAGCGCTGCTTGTACTGGTAGCCCCCGTGCAGCGGCAAGTAGCCCAGCGGATCGGCGGGCGTGGGAGGCCCTGGGGGCGGCGTGGAGGCGGCGGCGCTGCTGCTGCTACTGCGCCTGCTGCTCCCGCCGCCGCCGCCGCGCAGGTAGACCGGCTCCACCTTGAGCGGCCGGTCGTACAGCAGCAGCTGCCGGGCCAGGGCATGCTGCCGGGCCTCGCGCGCGTCCTGTGGATGCCGGAAGTTCACGTAGGCCACGCGGCCCAGCTCCGGGGTGTGCGAGAGGCGCAGGCTGATCTCCCCGAAGCGCTTGAACTGGTGGAAGAGCCGGTCCTCCAGGTGCTCGGCCGGCAGCGCGGGGCTCAGGCTGCTGATGAGGAGCGTCTTGTATTCCGGAGCCGCCGTGGAGCCGGGACCCGCAGGTTCCGCCCCGGGGGGCGGCGGGGGCGGCGGGAGTGGAGATGCGCGGGGCGACGCGCCGCCGGCACCGGGGTCCCCCGAGGCCTTGCCGGTGCGTCCTCCGCCTCCGGGCGCGCCCGAGGAGCGCCCGCTGCTCGCCCGGTGATTCGCATCCCCGGCAGCGCGGCCGTCGCGATGCCCGCCGCCGCCACTGCCGCGGGGCTTGTCACGCGTCCGCGCTGGAACTGGGTGCTTGGTGCCGCCGGAGGCCTTGTGCGCTGCTCGCCGCCCGCCCGCCTCTGCCTCCCGTTCGCGCTCCCGCGGCCGCTTTGCGGACGATGACGAGCCACGCCCGCTCGGGCTGGAGTCTCGCTCGTTCTGCCGCTTCATGGCGCCGGCGCGGCGGGCGGGCGGCCCGCAGGCCCCTCACAGCGGCAGCGGCGGCAGCCCAGGAGGCAGCGCCCCCGGCGCCGCCATCTTGGACAAAAGGACTCGGCGCGGCAGCGGCGGCGGGGCGGGGCGGGAGCGGCGCCGAGGGGCCGGGAGCTGCGTTATCAAGCTGCGCCGGACGCACCACGTGACTGAGCTGGGCGGGACGAGAGTTTCGCTCGGCGCCTATCATTGGGCTCCGCGGCCCTGTACCACGTGACATCCCGGCGAGCAGAGACGCTGGCTTCACTGCGCTCTGGCGCCACTGCGTGGCCGACGGGCCGTAGGCGCGGGGCTGCTGCGTTGTGCACGGATTCCCTCAGGAGCAAGGAGGGCCCCAGCTGGACTTAGGCTTTGTGCTCTAGGGCTAGCCACTCCGGGGCCGCCTACTTTGTTTTGCGGTCTCACGGCCGTGCCCACTGGAACAGGAAAGGCCACTCGACCGGCGGCCTCTTTGCGTTGTTAAGTATCCCACTCAGACCTGCCACTAGGTTGAAATCCTATTCCCCTCCATGGTGTTTTCTAACTGGGACCAGAGGCGACATCCTTGAAGGATCCTTACACCCTGTCCAGGACGCACATCCCGGACATCTTCTGCATTCAGATTCTTCAGGCACTGTCCTGGCAGGAGCCTGAAAACAAGACCTCCTGGGTCCAGGTACAGAAAGTAAAAGACTGCATTTGCAGCCACAGGCATCTTGGTACCCCTGGGTGCAACTTTGTGCTGTAGGTTTCTGGGCAGCCAGGAGGCTGGAAAGGTAGGTCTGCAGAGAGAGCAGGTAATGCCAGAAGCTGTCACTTCTCGCTATGCTGACATCTTGCTGGCTAGTGTTGACTACATCCAGGAGTACAGGCAAGGGGACCCAAAGGCCACTAGGGGCTTATGTTCTCCACAGATGTTTGCTGGATCCATTGAAGTATCTGTAGGATGTCGAAGGGTGCACCCAGCTCTTCCCTCCTCCCACAGACAGAGCAATTGGCAGGAGACAAGAACTTGGTGGAACAAACAGCAGTGGGCTCCATGGCAGGATGTAAGGACCCGCACCAGTGAGCTAAGACCAGCGCTTCGGAAAACACACTTCTCAGAAGTCACTCCTTTCACGGGACGCTGGGGCAGCAGGAGCAAAGTGTCCCTGCTAAGAACTACCAGCCACAGAGCAACTGGAACCATGCTTGGGCTCTGCACTGCTACCAGGTCTCACCCTGCCTCCGTGTAAACCACACAAATCCAAGTAAGCAAGGGGTCTTGTTCACACTAGACTTAGACTGGAACCCCAACGAATGGATAACTAAGTCCCAGGTGGAGTGAAGAAATGCCAATTCTGAGCACCGCATCTGCTGATGTACTGTAGACTTAACCTAACCCAGTAACAGGCCCACCTTCAGCTCCTCCTACTGGATTGGACTGGATGGGAGTCTGAAGGCGGTGTCAAGCCTAAGTCTTCACCCTGCTGAAGTACACGATACTCTGAAGCCCCTAAATCTTGTTGTGGGAGTTTTTGGCACTGGCCGGTCAAGGGACCTTTGCAGACTGGCAAGATAAAGCAGTAGATTATAGGGCAGAATTCTGTTTCAGTTCAACTCTCCAAAGACAGATTTTTTTTCCCCTTTAATAAAAAAATCCAGACAAACTTTGAAGTCCAAGAGTAAACCAGCAAAAGAAGGAAGTAAATTCCTCCCCCGAGGGGAGGGGGCACCACAGAGCCAGCATCACTATTAGGAAAGCTCCAGGCTTCACACCTCATTGTCAGGAGCCCGCTTAAAAAATAAATTACAAAATGGTAGTTTGGGCAAGAGACAGGTGAACTGTTCTTCCCTCAGGAGCAGCAGGGATTGGGCAGACTACAAGTCAGTCCGTGCGCTGGCTGCCTTGGGGGCATATTTAGGCATCAGTTCGTTTATCTTCCGGATATAGTCAGACTTTTCTGCACAGCCTTTGCACATTTCCCCCCAGTCGTCCAGAATCTTCTTCAACTCTTTCACGCGGAGCTTCTTCAGGTCCACTGTGCTCAGGTCGATCTGCTTGTCTGCAGGGAGAGCAGGGTAGTGAGTGGCTGGGTAGGAGAGGCCGCTGCTCAAGTGCTGCCCCGCCAACCATTCCTGAGGACAGCCTGACGTGCAGCAGGGGAGACACATGCAGCCATGAGGGAACTGGCACTGTTCACCAGCAGGGCCACCTCAGGCTGTCAGCGTTGGCTACGGGACATGCACTGTGCAGTTCAGAGAACCCACACGGTTCAGAGGAACACAGCTCCAGTTCCCCAAGGACCTTCTACACATCAGCACAGAATGACAGTTCCAGGCCGCTGACAGAGCAGACATGTCCCCTATCTCCTCATCAAGGCACCAGAGTCAAAGCTTACTCCATAACCCATATGACCCAGACAGACCTACAGCAGAACCAACCAGGGTGCCAAATCACCAAGCACAAACCACAAACACAAGGCTCTTGGACATGTGAGTTATACTATACACTGGCAGTGTTTTAAACTTCATGGGGTTATGTAAAATGAGACGGGCTCTTTCATGGTGATGCTGTGACGCCTATCACTCTTACACTAAAGGGTTTTTTTTAGGGCCATCAGAAGTACAGCCATGACACTGACAAGTCGGTTAAACTAAAGTCTATTACATCGTTTCTCTGCTCAAGTCTCTGATGCTCCCAACTTCAGACTAAAAGTCAAACCCCAAGGCCTTGTCCAGCTTGTCCACCTTATTCATTATACCTCCATCTGTATTCTCGGTCTGCACCGTCCTGCTATGAGCTGGCCTCTTGGCTAATCCTCCGGCTTTCAAAGCATGCTAACAAGTCACCCTCTCAACTTCTGACCTCCACCTAGCTTTGCTGTGGATGACTCTGAACCCTGCACAGGATATCACCCATCATGCTATCAACACTTGTGATGACGCTTCTGGCTGGAAAGCGAGCCCAGAAGGGCGCACAGTCCTGGTCACACTCACCGTATTTTAGCTCGCAGATCTGGCTGTCTTTCTTCTTCAGCTTCTCACAGATCTTCTCCACGGGGATATGGTGGGCCAGGGGCTTCGACACCTCATTGATGATCTTGGTGGCTGCATCATCTGTGGCCCCAATGTAGTAGCACTGGAGCGGAAAACAACACCAAACAAAACAAAAGCCTTAAGAAAGAATTTATGTGCATGACTAGGTGCGCACGTGTGAAGGTGCTGGAGGCCAGAAGAAGGCATCGGACTCCCCAGAGCTGGAGTCAGTGTTGTGGGTGCTGGAGACTAAACTCAGGTCCTCTGCCAGAGCAGCACACTCTCATAGCTGTCTCTCCAGCTCCAGACAATGGCTGTTAGGTCATCTTGAAAACTGCTCTCTGCCAAGGCCTCATGTTTTCAGTCCTTGCCCAGATCTAGTTGTTCTAAACTCTATGCTCAGTCCCAGAGTTTCCAGACGAGTTTCAGAACCATCAGAGTTCCAATGAGAGACTGCCAGAAAAATTAAAGCTTCAAAGGCCAACGCTTTACCAGGCACCTACTTCTGATCCCAAACACAGCACACTCTTTCTGGTCTTTGGGCTTGCACACTGTCTGGATGCTCTCCCTCAGAGATACCTCTGACGACTTTCTGTAACAGCCCCTCCCCACCCCCAAACTATCCTCGAATATTCTCTTCACAGACACACCATTCACTGCATTTGTCTGTCACTTTTCTCTTCTGGCATGCTCAGACACTTAATAAATAAAATACTGGCTAAATGTACTACAGTCTCAAATTAGCTTACAGACATGCCCCATCATGAAGTGGACAGAACACACGAGCCAGGGCCAGCCTGGGTGGGTCACCAGCTACTCACCAAGCGATTCTCTTTGCCTCTCGCTTCACGGCAGAACTTTACAAGTTCTTCTTCAATAGTGGCTGGAGAAAATGTGACATCTCTGTCTTTGAGGTCCTGGTAAAATCTTCCCAGGTAAGAAACACAAACTGGAAAAGAGAGATGGTAAGCAATTACTAATCCCCATCTCCGCAGAAGAAACTCTGTCAGCAGTTTTGGTACAAGGGATGATGATCATTAAAACGTTTCCCATCATTGTTTTTTCTCAGGTACTCATTCACAGGTGCCCAGTGCATGCCGGGTATAATATCACCCCAGTGACCCACACACAGTCCTCCTTGCTCTTTTCAAGTTGAAGCCGAGAGTGGACACGTGTCCTTGAGAGGGAACTCACTGTGACCTCATAAGGGACCGATTGGAAGCTGAAGCAAAAGATCAAAACATTCCTTATTCCAAATACAACACCGAACCCCTAAGTGCAGCTTGGCAACCCCAGGAAACCGTTGAGGCCCAGGGCGTCCCTTCCCGGAACCTCTAAACAATGATGGGAAAGGACAAAAACTCCCGCGTTGTGGGCTTCCGGCCAAGTTTTCAACGCGATTGGGCCGACGCTTTCCCCTAAACGGATCAATGTTTCTAGGCCCGAGGCCCTTCCTCCAGCGAACCCCGCTAGGATGGGCCCCCGCCCCCGCTCTCTCGGTTCCTTTGGGTTCAGCGCTCCCTCCCGGCCTCCCCCTCTCCCCCCGCACCTTCACAGTCGCCTGGCCGCAGCGCCCGGCTGTCAGGCAGCACGCTCAGGGCCAGCGCTACCGCCAGCCCGCGCGTAGCCCACATCTCCTCTGCCTCCACCACCGCTGCCGCCGCCGCGCGAATGAACCGCACCCGGCCCGGTGCACCGCCTAGGGGGCTGGAACACAAGCCGGAGCTTCCCATTGGCGGGCAGCCTCCGCGCCCACCCATATGCCGCATTCTCATTGGTCCACGTGCCCTGGAGCCCAGGCCAGCGGCTCCACGCTACCCTTCCTCATTGGCTGGTGGCGTCTGGATCCTAGACAGCTGTCCGTTGCTGATTGAGCCTGGGCGGTCCATAGGAAACGGCTGGGCGGAAGCTGCACGGGCCGCCATATTGGGTAGGGGCAGCTGCTTTGGCTGCTGCCGGGCACCCTCCGAATCTGGTGACACGCCCCGAGGACCCCTTCTTGCCTCTACACTCAGTCCCCTCCCGGGCCCCGGATTCGTAGCGCAGGATTTCTGGCGTCAGCAGACACCCGGCAGCATAAGCGGCGCAAGCAAGGATCAGAAGCAGCGGTTCCTTGTTTTGAGTCACCACGTGGATTGGCGAACCAATCTTTGAGACCGTCCACGTTCATTCGCCGGCTGCCCACTCCCCTCCCTATCCTGGGTCGGAATGCAGATCCGCCCAGAGGAAAGGCTCGATGCCTATCAAAGTCGGCTGCTGCTGTCTTGGACCTCTGAGGGCTCTGCCTGCGGCTAGGCAGCAAGCAAGGGTTGGGATAGCCTCCCAGTGGAGGCCAGGGGATCTTGTGTCCCACTCTTGGAGACGCGCAGATGGGAACTGGAGATGGTACCGCCTGGACTGCCCTAATGCTAACTATTGTGCTAGGGCTTGGCCACTCGCCCTCGAAGGCAGAATACGGAGAGCGGCCGGCTAAGTACAGAAAAGTATCTGGAGCTAAGAGGGCGTGGAGCCCGGCGACAAGGGTTTGAGAGGGGGCACTTATGCTCCCATTCAGTGAAATCAGTGGATCAATATCAGGTATTCATCTTTAATTCACATCACAGCAGTCAAGGGAGGGGGAGGAGTCAATTGGCAGATATTTACATCTAAAATTCACATTGCTTGTTGGATTTATAACATGCTACCACAATATATACAGTAAAATACCTCTTGGGACACCGGCACAATTTTTTTTCTTTAACTCTTCTGGTACAGTTAAGATCATTTTTAAATCAGTTTTTCTTTAGACATGAATACACAAAGGAAATGTTTAGAAGTTTTGTTTTAAATAAGCACAGAATGCCAGAGGTTAAAAACACATTTATAGGGCTTATTACCAATTAGACATCACACTCTATACATTTTTTGCTCAAATTCCTGTACAAATACACAGCATTCAAATAGATATTTACAAATATGCTTGAAAGAATGAAAACCAGTATTTCACAATCTTCTCAAAGGATTCTGATCTCTGGCCTCCCATTTCCCTCACACTGGCTGGTTTCTCAATAGAAAGTACTCAGAATAGGGCCATTTCATCCAGTTAGGGGAAACGGGGAGGGACAACACAAATATATTTCATCTTGCATAAAGCAAGGCCAAGGAACTTAACCCTACATTCCCCTCCCTCCCTCCTGTGCCACCAAGTGGAGAAGGTAAATGTCATTGTGTGATAATTGGCTGCTTTCATGGACTGAGGCTCACATGTGCCTGGAAACCTGGAGCTGCCTTACCTATGAATCACATTCAAAGCAGACTTTGACCCTCACATCTGTGAACCCAGACGATCCAGAGACAAGCTTACCAATGAGCCCAGGCTCAGGAGCAGGTGTGTGTGCCCCCTTGGAGTCAGGGCTCCCTGGATTGGCCTACATCCTTAGCAGCCTCTGCTCTATTCTGCCTGAATGATCCTGAGGGTATCAGAAAGTCCTACACACATTGACCCTGGACCCCAACATACTCTGTAGGAAAATGGGCTCTCTATCTTTCCCCTAGGTTATTTGCTGGCAGTTCTATTGAACTTATTTATAAGAGAAAAACACCCTGACCGTGGACTTCTTTGTTTGGGAAAGAACTTGGAAGAAAGGATGAGCAGCTAGGCCCAGGACTTGGCTACAGGAGGCCAGAAGACCAACAAGTTAAAGGGTGTAGGGAATAACACACCTGCTCACCAAGGAGAAGGCAGTCTCATGGCCATCACTGGTGTGAGTGTAAGCAAATGAAAAAAAAAAACTGTCTCAAGACAAGTTTTTTTTTTTAAAGTAACTTAGAAGCACCCTGGTAAAATATTACCATACCCCCCACCATAATACCAAGAGAAAAATCAGTGCCCTGACAAGAAAGAATTTCCTATAAAGTCACCACTGTGCCCTGCCTAACAGACTGGGGAGGTCTGAAAAACTGCCCTTCTGCTGGTCCTGAACCCTGAGTGGCGGTCCCTATGGGTTTGGAGTGGAGGGTTCAGTACTTGGCTACTTGGAAGATAACAGTTTTACCTGTGTGGCTCTCTGTTTCCAAAACTAGTTTCCTCCCATCATTTTTTATTTTATTTTATTTTTAATTTTTTATGCTTTAAACCCAGGAGCTTGCTGAACCTGACCACACGTCCTCAGGGCCTGGAAGCCAGGCTGGGCAGCCAACCCCAAGGCTCAGAGGTAGTGCTGAAAATCCCTGATTCAGGCTCTAGGTGGCAGGCATTTGGGGCCATCTGTGAAAGCTAAGAGCTTTCTGGCTCCTGCCACACTCCAGCCTCACTCTTAACACCAGCTCTCTCTAACACAAGGGAAGGAGTCTAGCTCCCTGCAGGAGTGATAGCCCTTCTGGCTTCATGTAATTGAAGCCCCAGCGCGTAAGAGACAACCCTTGCAAGCCCATTCAAGGCAGGGAGGCTTCTGCAGATCATGAGGTGTTTTGAGTGGAAAGGAGCAAAAGGTCCAAAATAAAAGTGATGAGAACGTCCAAAGTGGGGTAAGAGACAAGGCTGGCCCATGGAAGCCTGGCAGTGTGCCCTGGGCATGCAGTTAGGCCAGTCATGTGCCTGACCAGCCCCTCAGTTGCACACTTCTAGATGGAAGAGTGAGCTGGCGGGCAAGCATTTGTGCAAAACGGCTTATGGCCCCTTTGTCCACCTGTGACATGTACAACACGTGGTCTTTGCAATCCCTGAATGCAACCATGATTTTTTTTCTGTCCATACAGCAAAGGAAGAGGTCCCTAGTGCAATTTCCATGCTTCACCATCGCTACCCTGGAAGGAGGCCTGGGTTCCTACTCCTGGACTCTGCAATGCTGCAAAGTAATTCTGTCTGTGCAATATCTCCATATAGCTCCATGTGGTCTGGAACTGCAGGAGGAAGAAAGCAACTACTGCATAAGGGAAGACCCAGAAAAATGGAAACAAAAAATGAAATAAAAGAGAAGCCACAAGCCTTCATGCTGCTGTGGCCTCTGGACATGGCAATTTATGAGTTCACGGCAGTAGAACAGAGACTGGTGGTTTTCTCCTGAGTGCCAAGCCTCTAGCTCCCTGGGAGGGACTTGCATTTCAGACCCAGAGTGCCTGGGCAAGCTGCTTATGGAAGCTGCCTCTCTGCTCCTCACTGTTCCCCTCGGCCGTGCTCCCAGGCCATACGGGCCTGCTCTTCCTTGGCGCTCCCAGGAGGCAGTGAAGCCTTTCGGTGCAGGCCCCTTGGCCTGTCAGCCTCCTCCCGCAGTAGCACACCCTCATCGTGCTCTAGGGCTGGCAGGCGGGGGTGGTAGGGCTTGGGTGGCAACGCAGGTGGGTCCATGGGGTCCTGAGGGATGACACATCCTGGGGCTGAGTGGCTTCTGCATGGCTGGGACTTGATGGAGTCAAGGACAGCAGACTCAGAGAGGCTGTAGTGGACAGGGAGGTAGGGCGGCTCAAGGTCTTCAGCGCCATCCCAGGCCTGGCTCGGCATGGAGTCCATGGTGTCTGTTCGAGGTGGGGCCTCTGAGGAGTGCCCAAAGTTACTCTCACTCAAGGAGGACACACCGCTGCTGGCACTGCCAGACAGCGTAGAGTTGCTGCCATCCAGGCCCGACTGGGGGCTTGTAGGGGAGGCTGGGATGGGGTGGAGAGGAGACTGTGCGAAGGAAAGGGTGGGTAAGTTAGAATCCCCTCTAGACAGGTGGACTGGCCTGCCGTGTGGATCCCAAGAGTCTGCTTATCAATGAACTTTAAAGTTTAGCAGCTTCATGTCTTTCTTCAGCAATGACTCCCCCTGAGTGTCTCCCCCAAAGCAAGCTAGTGGAGCCCAGAATCACTATTATTTCTGAGGGCCAATAAATGCCCCTGCCCTGGCTGCTGGGCACTAATGCATCTAGGGCCAAGTCCCAGGTTGGGTGTGGTCTGAGTTACTGCTGGGAAGGCTGGGTTACCAGGTAGAAGGAACACTGGTGGGCCACAGATCAGATGAATGTTACTCTGTTGCTAAAATCTGTCACAGACTTGGTCTTTTCCCATTTGCAGAAAAATTAAGCTAACAGGATTCAGATTTTACTTCTTGAATTTTTAGTACACTTTAGTGCCCAATGTTTGTCATTTTCAGTTGACACTAGTTTCAAAAACTATAGCCCACCACAGGGACATTTAATTAGCTACTGCACTATATATAGTGTGTCGAGAGCCTGTGATACTGGCAGAGCCCCCAGGTGTCTCAGTGCTCCCTACATGCACACTCTTGTTGTCATGTATTGTCCACAAGACCCTCTGATCTCCCTGTCCTCATCAGATTCGTTGCAGGATGCATGGGTCACCTGCTGCTCTAGTGTGGCTCTGGCCACGCCAGCTTCTGCCAGCTTAGGCTCTCAGGACAGAGGAGCAGGGGAGGCAGGTTCCTCTTGTAGGCCCCAAGGGTGATTCTACAGCAGATGAGGCGGTGGGACAGTTGCTTCAGTACATTACCTTGCGCAGGGTCCGGGCAGGGAGGGCTGGGGGGGCATCACCCAAGGGGTGGTGGAAGGCGTCAAAGTGTAGGGAGTAATGGCCTATAAAGAGAACAAACAGAACCACAGCCTCAGTTGGGGACCCTTGCACAAGTTGCACAGCAGCTTCACCTTGCTGGGCACTGGGCAGGTATGGAAAAGTCCCCCAAGAACACCTCAGCATTGAAGGCCTTTCTTTATACTGACAGTCTGTAAAGTACAGGTCGCTGAGGTAAAATAATCCCATTTTACACAGGAGGCCAGGAAGGTTGAGTGCTTCAGAGCCCACAAAACAGGCTGCAGGCAGAAGTTCTAGTCCACGGGCAGGTTGATGGCAGACTGGTGAGTGGTGTATCTGGCAGAGTTGATTTTGTTGTCTTCAGCCTCCCTGGCTGGGAGCTAGCTTGCAGGACTCAAAACCTTATTGGCCCCAATGTTCATCAGGCTCCTTCCTGCAGAGTGGATGCTTTTTTCTTGGCTGGCATGGCCTAGACAGCTGCTGATCTAGCCCCTGGTCAGAGTTTGAGACCAGAAACCATTTGGGGGACCCGCTTACCATGCAGCAGGCTTCGGGGAGGCACTGGGGGGGCCATGATGTGCCCTATGAGGGCAGACAGGAAGGGCTGGGCCTCTTGGGCTCCGCTATCCAGGCTCCAGCTGCTGGGGGCTGCTGGCACCGCTGAAGGGTGGAAAGAGATGGAGTGAACGGAGGTTACTTCTTGAGCTTCCCACTTGGAGAAGCTGCCCTACAGCCTGAGGCCTCCTTCGCTAGGAGTGCTCTGTGTAGCCATCATACAAGTGGCATGTCAGGCCCTACAGCTGAAAATACTGGCCAAACAAGGCACTGTGGCCCATAGAGATGACTTGTCAGGGATTAAAGGTGCCTAAGATGGCAAGAGGAAGCTGACTTCTAAAGAGTGTTCAGGGTAAGACAGACTGAGAAAGTGCGATAAGGAGTAAACACGTGCAGCCTCTGGATCTGTCAGAAGAAAACCCAGAAGACCATAGGGGAGAACAGGGCAGGTCAAAGAGATCAAGAACACAGAGTCTTCACAAGTCAAGAATTGGGTCAAGGCTCTTGCACTGGCCATGCCCTGTGTGAAAAGCAGGGAGCAGGATGGGAGACAGAGACAATGTCCTTTGAGAGACAGCTCCACTAGTTTCATAAGGGGCCTGTGGTGACACTTGAAACATGGACCCATTCCTGTTGTTCTTATGCCTACTGGCTGGGTTTAAGAGCAAGACATTTTCCTAGCAAGGAGAGGTATTTAAGGTGCCCACCTAGTAAAGTTACAAAGCCCAGGAGTTTCAGCCTAGATTTGGAAACACACTGCTTCCTGCGGAAGGGGAGGCAATGAAGGCCATGGCTGCACAATAGAGCAGGCCCCAGACAAAGCAGTCAGGTGCCTCAATACTGGCTCTTTGGCTACAGCTGGGGTGAAAGTTCTTTATAAAAGGGAAGAGAACAGTGGCTAGATTTTGCAATTTGGGGTTTGGCTACTCTGCAGGTACAGAAAAGGACATGTGAAGCACGTTTATCTAATCAGTTCTTTTCAGAGAACAAATGCTACCAAGAAGAAGCATGCCTTTCTTCTGATGGAGCCTTTTGGAAGAGCTCTATTTTAAGGCAGTGGTAGCTAAAGGGAGCTCAAGGTAGCTAAGATTTGGGCTTTTATGTTCCAGACACTCACTGGAGAATTCCAAGGCCTGATAGGAACTGGAGCCTGTACAAAGAGTAGGAATCTGGCCTCAGAGTAGATGATCCAAAATCTATCTATTCCATGGGTAGACAGATGACACCATTTTTATTCTCTTTGTTCATGGACTAGTATGGGCTTTTGGGACAGCACAGGTAAAACTTCAATGATAAGGACTGCTTAGCCTCATGATACATTGGTGGCTAACAGCAGGAGAAGGGGCATCTGAATCTGATAAGTAGCCACTGAGCTGTCACCGCAGGAGAGATCTCTGAATCTGATAACACATCAGATGGCTTCCTCAGAAGCCTGGGCCCAAGAATAGGTGTTTTCACTCCCAGGTTTTCCAAGATGCAGCAGGGGGCCTCTTGGTTCTAAGCACCCAAGCTCTCCTCCCCAACAAAGAAGACATTCACAATGAAAGCCACAGGTCTCGGAAGCAGCAGGCTTGCAGATGATCCCGAGAAGCTTCTCCAAAAGGATCTGACAACCCAAGACCTCAGACATGTCCTTGACTCCTGAGAGAACTGAAGGGGCTGCAAAAAGTTTACCCTAAGGTCCCAAGGAACTTGAAGTCAGGGATGCTTTAGGGGCGAGATGCTAGGAAATCTGTACTGGTGTACTTAAGATGGTGTCTGGGTGAGTCATTGCCATGTCAACCAGAAACCACAAATCTGCAGTGAGGTCAGTGAACCTTTGCCACATGGAGTGGCCAAGAGAATGATTTATTCTAGGAGAAGAGCAATAACTCTCTGTGTAATGTCATCTGTCAGCACTAAAAACTCTACAGTATTGGCCTGAGGTCCCCAGTGCACAGTCCCTGACCTGAGGGCAGGCTTGTCTTGTCTGGGAGTGACTGCCAAAGAAAAGAACCTGGTATGGTATGGTAGCTCTGGGCTCAGCTTTTGTTCTGAGACACCCAGGGTGGGCATGTCCGGGTCCTTGCTGCATGTAGCTTGAGGCCTGAGGCTCTTCTGTGTCCAGCTGGTGTAGCATCCTGGTTTGACCACCAATACTCATTTGAGCTCTGAGCTGTGTGACTCTTGGCTATTTTTGAGATTGCTCTGCATCTTAGGTGAAGAAACCCCATTGTGGATTCTGGCCTTCCAGGCCAAAAAGGCCCATTGTTTTGGGGTCATAGGTGCAGGAATCCAAGAAGCCACTTTTTCAGGCTGTGCAGCTGTGAGGTTAGGAAGGCATCTTCAGTAGGCCCTTCATGGCTGAGCATCTGGCACTAATGCCCACTAGGAACCAAGGTTTTGGACCCAGTGTTTTGATTCCTTAAAAAGGACACAGAGTTTGTCCTCTACAACAATCAAGAGAGGTAACGACGACAGTGGGGACAGCAGACAGCACTTGGTAAGCAGGTGCAATGACAACACGATGAAAGCTTTGGAGGGACATGGTCTGATGGACTAGGGGACAATAGACTATATTGGTGGGAAGTGGATATACACTTAGCACAGCAGATGGAGGAGAGGAGAGAACTATAGGACCAGGTTCTGGCTGACAGCCAAGCTCAACATGGTCCCCATTTAGGTACTGCTGTGCTAAAATTAACTTAGGTGTCTGGGGCTTCAGTCAAGGTTATAGAGGGTGGCTGCTGGTTCTTATATCAGCTTGAGAATATAGGGTAAAGTGGCACCATCTACACAGCTGCTGCTCTAGGGAAAGTTTCTCAATGGCATGTGTAGTACAGATGGACCCAACAGTCGCTGGCCAGAGTGGCTAAACACTGACTGGACTCCACTGAAGCACTCAGAGCTTTCCCTGTAGAAGCTTAGTATATTTTCTATTTCTTTGGGGCTGTCATTGG